GTTGTTTTATCATCTGATTGTAATAGTCCAATTTTATTGAGTAAACATGAAGCCGTGCACTGTAGATGTCTCATGTTTGTACACTATAGTTTGTAAATTTTATGTGTGTATTATTGATTATGGCCGTTATAAGTTTGTGTATTGTAGTCATTATTATGCGTATGTGTAATTTGTAGCCATTATATTACATTTATGGATTATACATGTCATGTAGCTTGTAGCCATTATGTTTGCTTACTAGTTTGAAGCCATTATGCATACATGTACCTGTACATGCATGTTTATGTATTATAGTAATTTTTATCATAGTTATTATATGTATATAGTGCCCATGCATGTTTTTGTACTGCAAGCTGGTTGACATGTATCTTTTGTAACAGATATACATGTACATGCATCAGCATGTAGAGATGAGCTTTTCATTATGATGTATCTTAGTTTATTATCATTGCTTTGTAAATTAAGGTTAATTATCATTTTGAAAAAATTTTGATATTTTAAAATTGAGGAATTGTATCTGCATGTATAGTGTATACATGTATCTCTTAAACATTGACATCAGTATTGTATTAGTTAATTATTTGGTTACTTTAATTTGGTTAATTATTGTTTGTTGTATTGGTTACGTAGTATTCATTATCTCTGGTTAACTATAACTATAACTAAATCTATTTTAGCACAGCAAAATTATAATCTTAGTTAACTAAACTATAATTCTTTCATTTGATGTTGAATTAACTAGAATCATAACTCATATGACTTGTCAAAACTATAATTAACCACTTACCTCACAAATCTGAGTTCTTACCTTGGGGGGCCAAAGTCCCCCGTGGAATCCTCTTTAGACCAATAGCACGGGGGGGTAATCCCCCTGCTATTACTAAGGGGCATCCCTGCTCACCGGTAAGGGCAAGAAGGTGTGCCATTGGGCGTGGCCTTCCAAAACCACACCCCCAGAAAAGGGACATGTGTACCAACTCAAAATCCCAAATTTGCACGCGGGTATAGCTCCACCTAGGGGAGGAGCGAACTGTGCGAGCTCTCAACTCCTCTCCCGCTAATTGCTGAGGGGCAATCCCTGCCTCTGGGAGGTACTTGTGTCTCAATCTGAGGGGGAGGTTCCGGTCAGCCACGCATCATACTGAGACATCACCTCAGTGGAGAAATGGTTAGTGGAGGGAGGCGGGAGGACCTGTAAAGAAGCTGCAACGCTGCAAGCAACAATAGAGCCGCCCCCGCAGTGGGAGGGAGGACCTGTAAAGAAGCTGCAACGCTGCAAGCAACAATAGAGCCGCCCCCGCAGTGAGAGAGCCCTTTATATCATGGCAAATAGTGGGTGTGGTTAACCTCGCCTAAACTTATTGTCTAACTGACAATTAACCACTTACCTCACAAATCTGAGTTCTTACCTTGGGGGGCCAAAGTCCCCTGTGGAATCCTCTTTAGACCAATAGCACGGGGGGGTAATCCCCCTGCTATTACTAAGGGGCATCCCAGCTCACCGGTAATGGTGAGAAGGTGTGCTATTGGGCGTGGCCTTCCAAAACCACACCCCCAGAAAAGGGACACGTGTACCAACTCAAAATCCCAAATTTGCACGCGGGTATAGCCCCACCTAGGGGAGGAGCAAACTGTGCGAGCTCTCAACTCCTCCCCCGCTAATTGCTGAGGGGCAATCCCCGCCTCTGGGAGGTACTTGTGTCTCAATCTGAGGGGGAGGTTCCGGTTCCAAACCACGCCCAAACAAAAGAACCCTCTTCATAATACTCAACTGAAGGTACTCAATGATTAATCAAGGAAACAAAGACATAAAATACATGAAAATGAGTTCAGGCAGTCGGGCCTTTTGACGAGAGAGCTACTGCTACTAGGACGGAAGGAGGTGACTGGATATAGACCTGGTAGGCTTCAGAGTTCCAGTGGCCCATGGCCTTAATCAGATGGTCAGGTACTCCTGCTTGGGCTGCTGAGGTAGCTGCGCCAATGCGGAAACTGTGGCCTGAGTACCTACCAGAGTCAATCCCACACCTCCCCAATGCCTCCTTGAGGAAATGAACAAATTGGTCACGAGAAAGAGGCTGTCCATCTTCTCGTATTAACAGAGGACCAGTCCTAGGACCTGGGCGCTTAGCGAGGTACATCAGCAGTGCTGCGACTGGACACAGCTCATCACCTGTCTTGCCCAGGAATACCATAGCTCCCTTGCCAAAGGGGTCCGTTTTGGAATGGAGAACTGTCAGGCGGATGATAGTGGGAGAATGGTGGGAATCAATGGCAACATTCTCGGCAACAATGGAAGGGCGAGAACCTGAAGTGGACGTCACCTCCCCGAGACGCATGAAGCCAAAGAAGGCCACGGTTGCAGTTGTCCAGAGGAGGAGATGGAGAAAGGAAGACTGAATGTCCCAGACTGCCCTCAACTTCCGCAGAATGACAGGGGTAATTGGGAGCCTGGAACGAACCATCAGATTGCCCTGAGCAGTCAGTTTGATTCCCCTAAGAACATACTGCAGGTAAGGCCAGTCTGACCTTGTAGAGCTGGTTGCTGATGACTGTACCTCTAGATGCCTGACTGCTGATAAGTTGGTGGAGATAGACCTAGGGGCCAACCGCCGCTGGGCTAAGAATGCTGCAAACAAACATAGAGTACCTTGTGACAATGGGTAAGGGGCAAGACCAGCACTGTGACAAAAGTTCATACAGCATGATTTAGCTGAGGAGTACGTACGATTAGAAGATGGGGCTAGACCATGCTCAAAGTATCTTTGAACAACTTCGCCCAGCTGGGAGAGGTCCACTGAAGATTGTGGTCTGTGAGCAGGTGAGCTAGCGGAGGTGGGATGGAGGTGGGCTCTGAGGCAGCCTGGGGAATAAGAGAGAGAAAAAGAGTGGTGTTATTGCGGGATAGGGCATCTGCAGCGGCATTGCACTTGCCAGGTATGTGATCTGCCGAGTGCTCGAAATCAAATTTTGCTTCCCAAAAAAACAGGCATTTAAGGAGGTGTGCCAGAATTGGGTGGCAGGCTGAGCGGGATGACAGTGCTGCAACAACAGCTGTATTGTCTGAGAGAAACAACACCCGCTGACCCGCCCAGCGCCTCCCCCATACCGCTGCGGCAATGACCACTGGGAGAAGCTCCTTGGCCGCGATATTGACCTCGGCCCAGGATGCTGGCCAAGGTAACTGGAACCATGAGCCGTGGTATTGGTCAAAAGCCCCACAGCCCCATGAACCAGATGCATCACTAATGACCCATGTGACTGGGCAGGAAGGGGGAAGGGCAGAGATCCCGTTCCAGTCTGCCACGAACAAGGACCACCATTTGATGTCTGCTTTACAGTTTGCATCCAGTCTGGTCTTCTGATGGGGGAGACGGGGACGCTTCATGGCCTCAATGATTGCTCTGACAAATGATCTCCCAGGACGCACCACGGCCGCTGCGTGGTTCAAGTGGCCCAGGAGTTCCTGAAGCTCCTGCTTTGTGGCTGCCTGAGCGTTTACCCAAGCCGATAGGCGGAGTTTAAGAGAAGCCAGTTTCTCCTGGGGGAGCGACAGGGACATGGCATCGGAGTTGAGCTGAATGCCTAAGAAGGTGAGGGAAGTAGCAGGACCCTCCACCTTTTCAGGGGCCACTGGTAGACCCAGTTTTTGGCAGAGTGGTAGAGCTATCTCCATGGCCCTGCGACATACTAGCGAACTGGGAGGGCCACAAAAGAAGAAATCGTCCAGGTAGTGAATAGAAAATTCCACCCCTGACCTGAAAAGAGCCCAAGCCAGACCATCAGCTACTGCTGAGAACAGTATTGGGGCAGACCTAAGTCCAAAAGGCAAAGCGAAATCGGCATAGGTGATACCTTCCCACTGAATACCCAGAAGGAGGCTGTCCTCTGGGCGGACCGGCACCATGCGGTATGCAGATTTCAAGTCAATTTTTGCCATGAGAGCCCCGCGACCACACTGGACCATTCGCTGAGCTGCCTCAGCAACTGAGGCATAGTGGAGAGAGCAGAGCTTGGAGGGGATCCCGTCATTAACACAGCGGCCTTTGGGGGATGATAGGTCTACTATCATCCGAAAGCACCCTGGTTTATTCTTTTTTGGGATCAGACCAATGGGGCTGAGCTGAGTGACTGTGGAAGGGCGGAGCCTGCCGGCTGCCACCTCCTCCTCAATGTACTTGCTCACTACCTCCGGCTTGTCTGTGACTGAGGACATATTAGAGGTGGCTGGCTCCAAGGCGCTACCGGGCTTGAAGCCAATTGTGAATCCCCACCGAATGCCTCTCTCCAGGAAGCCCGCCAGATCCTGGTCTGGCATTGAGATCAAAAAGGGGAGCCACTCCTGCAAAGGTAGGAATCCTTGTACTGCACAGGAGGGAGAAGGTATAATGGCTGCCTGCGACTCCAGAGCCAGGAGTTGAGCCACATATGGGTACTGACCTGCAGTGACAAGATCAGAGTGCACTGAGACTAAGCTTATAAAAAAAAAAAATAAAAAAAAAAAATAAAAAAAAAGGGGGGGGGGGAAGCGTACAGCATCAATTAATTAGACGTTATTTAACTGGGGCCACATCCCATAACATTTAATATTGCAAAGTTACCATGCCAGAAAAAAAAATGCATGAGCAATGAACAATGGATGATAACACTGGGAAAGAGCAATAATTAAACAATGCATCATGAATAATAATGAGTGTTAGTATATATAGAGAGGGTCCATCTATAGCGCCCTCCAGAGCAGCTACCGGATCAAGCTACGCATCAGTGGTCTTCGGTGAGGGCGACTTTGGGCAGGCTGACGCTACATGTTCTCCGCTGGAGCAAATACTACAAACATGTAGGTATTGACACTTAGCGTGCCTACAGTAGCCATTGTTGTACTTTTTACACGGTTCCTTAGAAGGCAAGTAAGGATGCGTCCTCCCTGTCTTTGACTGCTGCGGAGAGCTCTTCTTCTCCCATGTAGCCAGGGCGCAGTCACTCGTCCGGTGGTCGGACTCCCAACACAATGAGCAACAGGGGGAGTCTGAGACAGAGGCTCTCAAGACAGACGTGGCCAGGATAGATGGCTCAACATGAGTCCACTCGCGAAGAGCTCCTGTGGCCATTTGCTGCCTGAATCTGGTGTCATAGTTGTGCCATCCGCTACCGCCGTGTTTCCAAAACAAGTGGATTACAATTTGGGCATACGCCACAAGTTGTTTGGTTGGCGTGTGATTCGTCTTTATGGCGATAAATGATAAAAAGCAGAAGACCCATGTGAGGGGGTCAGAGATCTCTCGCATTTTTGAGGACGCAGAGAGGAGCTGCGATGGATGGCCCAACTCCTGTAGCCTCTCAGTCAGGGTGACATTATCCACTAACATCTCCTTCAGCTCCACGTAGGCTCCGGAGTGGATACGTTCCACTACCTTTGCTGGAATGGGAGGGAGAGAGGTAGCCAGCGATACAGGCAAAACCTTGGCAGGGGGAGCTGTATGGAGGAGGGAGCCCAGGGGGTCTGCAAAGTGGCTGCTTGCTGATGAAAACAGCGGAAGAGCATGAGCCACTGAGGTACCTGGTAGAGGTTCAGCCAAGCGGGCTGGAGTAGAGCTGCTAGCTGCAGGCAAGCCTGACCCTGCACAGATGGATGTGAGTATAAGTGACAGAGAAAGAGAGGGAGAGGTAGAAAGAGAGAGAAAGGGAGAGGGGAGGAAGAAAGAGGAAAAGGAATTTTAGCAACTGACCTCAGCCACCCCTGCAAGGAGTGGCTAGGTGAAACCACAGGGGCTGCCCTGCTGACCCCTGTAAAAAGGAACCCCTGCTAGGTGTAAACCACAGAGTTGACCTGCAGGCCACAGGTGTTAAAAATCAATTAGAGGCAATGGCCTCTGCATAGGGCTTGCTGCCCTCGTAGGCCCCAACAAACACTGAGAACATGCATCATAGTGTTACAACAGGCCTACAGCCGGACCCTCCATGGGAGACACTTATTAATAAAAAATTCTTTATATATATATATATACATATATACATACATATACACATATATATACTGGGCTAAATGCTACCATGACCCTAATGACCATTTTAATGGACCTGCTGTGCATAGCAGGCGGGTCCGTCTGCAGCCGTCTACATGAGTGAATTGCATGGACAAACCACTGACATAGAACATACCTGAGAGGGTAGCCACGGGAGGGGGCATAGGCGCACTTGACGACCCAGATCCTGCTGAGACTGCTGGGAGGCTCGTGCCAGTAGAACGGAGGGCACGGTCGATGCCCCGCTCTATTCCTGTCTCCACTGCTGCATTAAGCAGCCTCATGAAGTCGTCAGGGCCCGCAGGAGGAGTAAGAGGAGCCCGGGGTGAGGGAGTAATGGGAGCAGGCGGGCCACCAGAGGGACCCAGGGTAGGGGCTGATATGGTGGGAGCAACGGGAGCAGACGGGCCACCAGAGGGTCCTGGGGTAGGGACTGATATGGTGGGAGCAACGGGAGCTGGCGGGCCGCCCGTGAGTCCTCCAGTAGGTATTAACGGGATTGTAGGAGCACCGGTCCTTGGGGGCGCCACTATACCGGCGGCTCCGGAGGGAGAAGAGAGACCAGTAGCTGGGCCACTGCCTGCCATCGCCTCGCCCGAGGACACGGGCGTTCCAACCGGCGTGGAGCTAGATGCAGAAGCCATCCGCAGCCCTTGATATTACAATTGACGTCAAAGCAAGGATAGAGACGGCACAGAGGCTCGGTGAAGACAAGTATGAGCTATTCTCAAGAAAGGTTCCTCTACTGATGAAGAACTGAGGACCTGTAAAGAAGCTGCAACGCTGCAAGCAACAATAGAGCCGCCCCCGCAGTGGGAGAGCCCTTTATATCATGGCAAACAGTGGGTGTGGTTAACCTCGCCTAAACTTATCGTCTAACCGACAATTAAAATAGCTATATTCCACGTAATAACTACTAAATAATTATTAATTAACTGCTAATTATGATGATGTCATCTTCCGGTAAGAAATTCTAGTAGGGCATTGCCCTCATTGCCTGCCCCTGCAGCCGCCTATGAGAAAGTCCCACAAAGTATTTTTAACAATCTCCATTCATCTCCATTACGGAATTCAAATTTCATTGTTAATAACCATGAATTAACCAGTTCTCGGCAAACTAGGTTGGTTTCAATACATAATGCGCTCACGTGATCCTTGTTTCCAATCCTGTTCCGTGTATAATATCTATGCTATTATTAAAGTTAAATAGCCTAATCTTCATTGAAAGTGGGTGTTATCACAATGATAAAATGGCGGCTATAAGCAAGTCTGAGCTTATTTTGCAGGAAAAGGTCAGCTAGATAAGGCTAAACTGCTGTCTGAAACTTCTCTAGCAAGAATAAAAGTTGAAAGAGCAGATATACAGTCTTTTCCTTGGTATAAAGGATTCTGCTAAGGTGAATGCAAGTGAGAAAGCCGCATGTACTGTACTGCTAGCTGCATGCATCATGAGATCAATTCTAGGTGATGTTTCTTCTCTAGGAGCAAGCCTAGGTTAACAAAGCAGATATACAATCTTCAAATATGATTTGTTCAGTGACTGCTTCTAACTATAAGCAAGATAACTTTAATTTAAGCAAGATGACTACAAGATACTGAATTTAGACATGTGCAATTGCTTTGCTAGCTCATACAGCACATAATCTATAGCTTGCTTAGGCTCACCCCTTTAATGTTTTACATTCGTCTAGTACTGATTTAATACCTTGCTTTATAGCCAAGCCCAAGTGCACATGCCCTCCTGATATAGCTGAACTAGTCAAGGCTACTAGTGGTTCTCTCGTACCACTCTACCGGTATTTAGGTCAGTTCACATATTGTTACCATGCATGCTTATTATATTGTGTACATTAGGCCCTAATCAATTTGGTAGATATACTAATCATTTCTACACTACCTCTCCAGATGAGATTGGAACTACCTTCCCTGGTCAAATAGGTAAACATGGTTACAGGAGCGAAGGAATTGCTGCTTACATTTATACTGGTGAGAAGATGACATCATTATCTGCCAATGCTAAGCATCTTTCTTCTTATACACATGTATACATGTACTTGTAGCCAGGGGCGGATCTAGGATTTAATTTTTGGGGGGGCAATTATGAGATGGGAGGGGTAATTAGGGGGTGTGGTCAACTAAGCTTGTGCAAAACTTTCATTGAAGTAAAAATTATAAAGACTAAGCCTGTAAAATGAGCTCTATTGTGGTTTAAAGATTGTTTACATGGTCCAGTACTGCAGCTGCTTCACAGTTTACATACATGTAGGTAAACCAAAGTTTAAAAATTTTTGGGGGGGCATTGCCCCCCCTGGCCCCCCCCCCATAGATCCACCACTGCTTGTAGCTCCAGCTGTTGTTCCACTTTACCGATATTACCATGGAAAAATACATGATCATTTATATACGTCAGACTTCAACGAGTTAGCATGTGGAGAAGGAAACCCTGATGGTTATAACTATGAAGGCATTCAAGGATATTGCTTCAAATATTCCTTGCCTGGCATCAATCGCCCTTTGTACCGATACTATAGTGATAATGCTATGGATCATTTTTACACAACAAATGAAGCTGAGATTGGAACAACAACCATTGGAGTTACAGGGAAGCATGGTTATATATCTGAAGGTATGACCTGCTACGTTGCTTAATGGAACCATTGAAACTGGCACAAACACTAGTAGAGAAACATATTTTCTTTATTTTTTTGTAACGTCACAATGAGTTTTTATGCATGAGAATAAGAGGAAAAAAAATAATCATAGTAATACATTTTAATTGAGCTGCTAATAATTTGAAGAACAGACAGTAAAAGGTGAAGGGGTAATACATACACAAGCAGTTTACACAATCATTATTATCATTAATCTAAAAGACTCTTGACTGAGGAGAGAATGAAGTCTGATACTGGTTCACAGCAAAATTAAAAGAAGTAGCTACACAAAGAAGACATTACAGACTATCATTATTATCATTAATGGTATCCTACCAGCAGGAGATGCAACTAGTTGAAGGTAAGCTGGCCGTACCATGGGGCGTGGTTTAGGAGGGTGATACTGACTAGTCTTTAGTTCTTGACCTAAAAATAAGAGAAAATCATTAAATTTAAGAGGAAGAATGTGCTACTGTACCATAAACTTTTTCCACTAGTAATCTCTGTTTTGCAGCAAGAACACTGTAAAATAAGAAAAGTTAAATGTTATATGTATGATTACATGCTACACATTTCTGTTAATACTAGTACCATACCTTGGTGTCCATTGATGTAGTATTCTTCTTCTCTTATTTGCTAGTTTTAGTACTTGTTTTCTTTGATACTGTCTCCATGCTAGTTGTATAACTAATGCAGCTATCTCTTTCCTCCAATGGTCTAATCCCTAATGAACAAACAAATGGATTATTGATAGCTCAACACTGCCTCATGCAGTAATCATAAAATAAAATGAACATGTACAGCATAATTATACATGTACTTAATCCTGCAATAATGTACTGCAGTTTACTCACTAGTCTTTGTCTAGCTTTCCTTTTGGCATCCTCAATCTCAAGATAATGCTTCCTTCTTTTGTATCTAAACAAAGAAAACATCAAGTAGATGTACATGTAGATACAGGATAATAGTAAAGGTATGGCCTTACTTCCTCCAGGCATATTGTATAACTAGTGCAGCATGTGTCTTCTTACGATGAAGTGTCATCCTTTGTCTGTCCTTTCTAGCTAGTTGACTCTGAAGTGCCCTCTAGTATCAAAATAAAACAAAACACATACATAAATACATTAACTCTTATGCTTTCTTAATATGTGACCATAATTGACAAAAGGTACCTTATGGCGGGTAGTGAAATTTGTCTTTCTAGCCTAAGAAATCCAACTTCCTGAGCCCCATTTATCATAAAATTATTCCACAGGATGCAAAAAGTTACCATGAAACTTTTAGAAACAATGATTGTCTAACAAAGCACTCACAGGTTGATATTTTCCATTATAACGATCAATTTTAAAATCCGCCATAAGGGCCCTTTTGTCAATTATTGTCACATATAGTCATTACTTACAGTTGATGGGCTTCTTAATGCCCATTCCTTAGCTTGTCTCTCTGATTCAGCAACTTGAAGTTCAAGACTCCTATTAATAATAATAATAATAATACCATAATTACTTCCTATCTGTATTAATCATAGTGCCTATAGTGTGACTAGTGTCTGTACTCTGTACATGTACATAGCTAAACTGACCTCCTATGACTAGAATCAGGTCGACTAGAAACAGCATCAGTTGCTTCAGTTTCTGTCCCTCCTGTCTCCTCCACCTTTACCTCTCCCTTCACCTTCTCTGCGTGAAGCAACTTGAACCTTTTCCTTGCCAAGTACCCCCGTACGACCTTCTGAATCATAATGGCTGCCAGCTCTTGTATACTGGCAATAGTCAGAGCTCCATTGATTATAAGAGCTTGTGCTAGCTCCTGGTGATTCTCAAGTATAGCATAATCCAATGGAGTCAGTTGCTCTGAGCTATCCATTGCATTTGGGTTAGCTCCTTTGCTTAGTAGAAACTGAACACAGTCACTGCTGCCTCCAGCACAGGCCCAGTGTAGAGGAGTGACGCCATCTTTATCAGTTTGATTAATGAAAGCATTAGCATTAATGAGCTCAGAGCAGCAACCGACTGAGCCATTGTAAGCAGCACAATGTAATGACGAACGACTAATTGGAAGAGAAGCAGATACTTTATTAAAATACAATGAACTTACTTTTCATTGTCCAGTATATCTACAGGCAGTCCACTGTGTATCAGTGTAGTGACTATGAACTCATGCCCACCTGATGCTGCCCAGTGTAAGCAGGTCCTTCCCTCATTATCAATAAGATCCACTAGTGCCTTGTGCTGTATCAGTGTCAATACTACCGGA